AGATATCAAAAGGCGAGTAAAAATCTCTTTTCATTTAGAGTGTGGGATAAAGTGGCGTGACGGAGACCTTCTTGGTTTGTCCAGTCATTCAAGGCTTTTTGCCGAGCCGTAAACTGGTGTTGGCGCTATTCGAGTTATCGAGGGCTAAAGGCTTTTTGCCGATCCAACATTGGACCACACTGGGGCACATATGACCTTCTCGGTCGCGATGATGCTCTGGTGGGGAAAATTGAATAGCAAATTGAGCATAAGTGTTAGCAGAACTAACTCCAGACCCTCCTAGGTTTCCCAACCCGATCGTAAGAAAGCAAGAGATTGGGAAGAAAAACGTTCAAACACATATCCACCAGCCGATTAAAGGGACGATTAACGGGAATGGAAATGTAATCGGGAATGGCATTATCAATTTCAAACCTTTCTTTGCTACATCAAAAAGGGGTTTGAATCGTGAAAAGGTACTAATGTGTATTTTTCAGTTATAATGCGATTTGTTACTAATGATCTACATTACTTTAAAGCAAGGATGAAGTTACAAAACGGGCTAAAATCGAATCACAAAGATCTATCTATTGAGACCGACTCTGAAAAAAGCGTTGAGGATAAACCTAAAGCTAGTACTCCACCACCATTTTCTTATATTAGCTCAGAATCTGAAATCTGATGAAGACTATAACTCGGATAAGGATGATGACTCATTCAATTATGATATTAAAGCGGTTTTATTCGATGATTATTTAAACCCAAATAAAACGAAATTCGAATGTAAATTAGAAGATGGTCGTCTAATTATTGATATTGCTAGCACTAAGACTGCTGAGGTAGTAAAATTAGCGATGGAAAAGAAGAACGAACGAACACAATTTATGAAAAGTGTTATCCGGTATGCTCTCTTACTTTTCCGAAATAGTTCATTAATAAAAAGGAAATTCTAATATTGTAAATATAGATTAGGGCTTTCATCAATCGTCGATTTATCTTCAGAGTTTGAAAATGGAATGTGTACGTGGTTTGGGCAGGAATGGACGGATATTAAAAGAAAGGTCTATGAGATCGTTAATATGGAACCAAATGTCTTCGAAGGGGAGATAACAAACGTTATTGATACTGTTGAAGAGAAAAGTAGTTTATTGTCTTCTGCGCGTATATAATTACTTCATTACTTATGCCTATTTTGGCCATTTTCAGATGTGCGATAGGTACAAATATAACGAAGCACGCGACTATTTATATAAGATTAGAACTGGCAACCATTCCCAAATAGTACAGCAAATAGCCACAATATATTTCTACGTGTAAGTTATAAAATTTTTTTACAATTTAATTGCATTGATTATCTACTAATACTGGTAAATTTATTGTTAGGATTGATGAATTTTTAAAAAATCTGTCCATATTTGTAGACAAAACAGGAAAATATAAGGAAATCAGCGAGATTGAATATGCAATGGCTATGACTGTACCAATACTAAATAATGTATTCAGTGATGCCTTTGATTATCTGGAACTTCGTTGGTAAGTCCATTATTATTGTTACCAATATTTGTAAAAGTAATGACATTTGATTGCATACATATATATAGGGGAGAAACATTATCTAAGACTATGTCTGATCGTCGTCGAAAAATCGATTTGAGAATTGTTCATAAAACCAAAAAAATTGAACTCAGCCATTCCGAATCCGCCAAAGCTCCTACACCCGGAAAAGTTGTACAAGATCGTTCAAAATGTTTACGAACATTGAAAGGTGTTCTTGATAATTTCTTAAAGAAGATTTATCTGATGAGAAGGTTCAGGACTCAAAAATATTAGGCATTCAATTTGCTGGTAGGATACATTGAATCGTGTTGTTTGTCATGGATAAGCTCTAACGTCTATGTATTTCCGCTCAGTTACACAAATTCCAAGTTCTGCGGTAGATGATCGACAAGTCCTGCGGCGTAGATTTTCCAATGTGGCACGAGCCTAGATCTTGTGGGCCGATTTGAGATATATCGGGCCATCTGTAAGGGCGGCCAAACTCGACCATATCGGGCTAACAGACGTTGGTAAAATTAGAACATTATTAATTAGTGAAACTTTCCCAATATATCCTACTTTCGCCGCCCTAGAGTTAGACAAGAAATACGTGGGGCGTTCAATAAGTTCTTGCCGTTTGGATTTATTTCATGATACTACATAATAAATTTAAAACTAATCAAGTCAATCCTTCAAAGTAGTCTCCTTCTACATCTATG